ATCAAAAATAGAAATCTTTTAGGGAATAACAGAAAATCTTCCAAGTTACAAACCAACAGGTCCCACACCAAATACAACAGACTCAAGAAAGGAGAAAGATTACAAACTGACTCAGACCTAGTCTACCCAATCTTGAGCTGATTCCAAAATGTAGTCCGATCGTGTGAACCTGAAACGTTAGTGAATAAGGCAATCTTAGAGAAATAAGGAATGTTTGCTATCATCAAAATCATAGATCATAGATCCACAACACTTACAACTTGAACAAATGGGATTAAGACACCTAAATATCCTCAACATGGTATATAAGATATAAAAGATGTGAAAGGCGAGACTTATATATTGATCATGTATGATCAAAAGGCTGGAATATTTCCTCCATGTGATAGAGAAGGCAAGGAAGATATGAAAGATGTGAAAGATTTGGATGTTTCCTCATTGTGATAAAGAATACCAATGAGTTGGACTTATAACTTAATAGCATATAATCAAGAGGCCCATATTTCTTCTTGATATGGTAGAAAATATATGGATGATGGAGTTAAATCTTAGATATCTCCTCAATATGATATAGAGTATTAAGGAGTGGTACTTATAGCTTGATAGCATATGATCCTTATGTCCATATATATTTTCAATGATATATAGGCAATGAAATATAAGCAGAAATATCTCCTCAATATAATAGAATATATATCCAAAGAACAGGATTTATAACTTGATCGCATATGATCAATAGGCCCTGACAGCTTCTCTATGTCACTAAGAAGACATGCAAAGTATACTTACAACTTGATCGCCTATGACCCAGAAAACCTAGATTTTGAACTTGTATAGTTCTTGGGTCAGTAATGCCATCTAACCAACTAGTTACATATGAAAGTAAAAAAGTTCAGACAAGCATATATAGAAAAGAAAGGTAGACTAAGTTATCTATCCTAAAGTAGATCATAGATTATGTGTAGACTCACAAGGTCATGATATAATTTAGGTGTCAGTACGGTAAGAAGCTAATATGTTATATGTCTTTGTCTACTAGGGTGAACCCATATGCTCAATCATTACTTCTATTAGAACTATATACTCGGTGTGTTTAAATAAGCCTAGTTTATAAGTGAAAGATGTGTAAGCCTAAGACTATACTCGTCAACATATATAAAACCATGTAAAATCAATCACAAAGCACTATAACAATCAATATGAATTAATAAATGTAATATATAACTATAAAATAGATAGAAAATAGAGTGCAAGTCCCTAACTATCAATTATTTTAAGGCTTGATATCTTAAGATTCCCTGCAAAATAGCTACCATATGAGTGTATATGCTCATGAGAGTATTCATTAGACATAAATGCGAATTATTGGGGCTTTAATCATGGATGTATGCATGTTTTCATGCATGCTTTCATGATATGCAAAAAAAACTAAAGCCATTAATATTTTAATGCTGATTTTTTAAGCATGAAAATAGATGATTGTTTAAACTTCTAAGATCAAAATTATGCTCTGCTTTTCCTTTTTTAAAATCCCATGAATAATCTCTCAAAGTTCGTTCAAATTTTCTTAGAATATGTAAATATTTATATTATTTTTAATAAATTAATTTTATTCATTCCAAAACCTTATAGCAAGTTTAATCGTTGAAGAGAAAAGAGAGTGAGAGAGAGAGAAACAATAACGTCTAGAGTGAGAAACTCTGAATGAGTTTTGAGTACCAAAAATTACATATCTTGAGTTCTACCATTGATACTCTTTTTATAAGTTTGGATCTAGATTTAGACTTCATTTTGGATGATTTTTTTACTGCTTTGTAAAGTAACTTTTTGGTATACATATTTTTAAGAAAACTATTTTAAAAAGTAATAAAAAAGCTATCACAAATGAAGCCTTAAAATCTATATAGTTGACTGCATATTGGTTTCTATGAATATGAAAAATTATATAGCTAAGCTAAAAGACAGCTTATTCTAAAATATGGAAGAAGTAGCTTACTTGACTTATGAGGAAGATATCATCGTCAGGATTCCTGGAAAGCCTAAGAAAGAAGAAGGTTCTTCGGATAAAAAGAAAACTCGAAAGACCTCAGATTAGAAGAAGTTGCTTATTCCAGATTCACCCCCAATATTCTGCATCTTCAACAATTATTACCACATAATCTGTTCCAGTGAAGGCCTCTAACATTTTTAGCTGTAGAGTTGACTGTCTGAAAGATTATTGCTGATGGTAAGAATTTATTCTTTTGCTTGTTTGAACAAGTCATTAAAAAGAGACATATTTTATGTATGTTTGATCTATTGTTTAAAGTGACGGTGAAATAGATGAGGATATTATTAGTAGAGTTCAAATTGGATGGTTGAAGTGAAGGAATGTTTCGGATCTGTTGTGTAATAGAAAAGTATCCCTTAGACTTAGAGAGCTGTCTATAAGATGATGGTGAGACCTCCGATGTTTTATGGCATAAAATGTTGATTATTAAAAGAGAAGCATAAAATTAAGTGTTGCAGAGACAAGGTTGCTCAAGTATATGAGTGGCTTTACACTTAGAGACAGAATGCAAAACTAGTATATACGTGTGAAGATTAGATTAGTTCCATTGGTAGATAAGATTAGAGAAAGTTTCCTTAGATGGTTTGATCACATAAAATATCGGTCTTCTAATGACCTGATTAGAATAGCATATATATTAGCTTTGACCTACGTTAAGAAAGATAAATGTATAACAAAATAGACTTGGTTAGAAATAGAAATGATCTTTTTTTTTTTTATT